ATTCCAGCTGATCAGGAGGCTGAAGCAGGAGGATCACAAGTTGAAAGCCAGCCTCAGAGAAGGGAAGGCACTTAGCAAATCAGTGAAACCCTGTCTCTAAATAAAATACAAAATTGGGCTAAGGATGTGGCTCAGTGTTCAAGGTCCCTGAATTCAATCCCCAGTACCAAAAATAAAAAAGAGAGAAGAAAAGAAAAAAATAATAGTGTGGTGGATATTCCATTCTGACCCACATGTTTTCATAATTAAAAACAACAAAACTCTACTGGATTAGGAAGAGAGGAGCACTTTGTTTAGAGGATATGAAGGACTTGTATGTGTGAAGTTCTAAACATGGTGCAAGATATTTCTTGGGCCAACAGAGCTAAGGTTGATGGAATGACTTCTTTCTCTAAGGAGCTGAGATAGTCTTAGACTGGGAACAGAAAAGGAAGCTTGAAGCGCAACTGGTTGTGGGTTCCAACGTTATGTAATGTATTATTCTTGAAAGCTAGTAAAGACCCACAATGGTGGCAATAGCCAGCTCTGTCTGGCTCATGCACATTTGATGCTCTGAAAGCCTGTATTACAGGGATTGGCCGGGGGCTCCAGGGAGGGCCAGACCAGGAATTTATAAGCTTGTTACTCAGCATTACATTCAAGGCAGGGAGCCTCATGAGGCCCCAGCTGCACCACCATTAACAGAGCTTATTTCCTTTCCTTGGAGTCTGGTAAGTGACAGAAACACTTTAGGACAGATTAGCTCAGATTGTGTCACAGATGTACCAAAAATGAAAATTGAAGGAAATTATAGGTTAGCCCAAATATGATTCCAAACTCTATATGAGGATCTCTGAGGCAGAAAAGGCACTTGTTGGAAGCATACAGAATTTATACTCTCCTTATAATATAAATTCTAGTTTGGGGAAACAATCTCTGATACTTCTTCTCTGGCCCAGCCATCACTTGCTACTGCTCTAGGAGTTTAAGACCAAATGTAAGTCAAAATAGATTTATGTGTAATTTACATTGGAAATTGACAAATAGCTGATATAGGAAAGAAAGGAAGAAATTTTTTATAAAAGAAAAAAAAGGAAGAAAATATGGAGGTAGAAATTAAAAAATAGACATGATTTTTAATCCTCATAGAACCTTGAAACAGAGGCAACACCAAATACACAACAATGAGACTTCCAAGACAGGGAATTAGAAGGAGAGCTTATATCAGAAGAAATAGTTTCTGGGACTGACAGCATTTATCTTAGGCTGTAAGATTCATTCTGAAAATCAGAATAACTCTGCCTTTACTCTCTGAAGAGTTTATGCAACTTTATGTAGTTTACAATAAATTCCAGCTACCTAGGATGCAGGCAATATAGTACTATGTCTCACAATTTTTTAAAACAAAAATTCATAGAAGTTGCACAGTATTAATATTGTTAAAAAAAAGACATTTACTCAGAGTTCATGATGATGAGATGGTTAAAAATGAAAATAATAATTATTATCCAGTTTGCCCTACAATATTTGGACTTTGTCTAAAGGTTTTATGCCTTTCATTCTTTCTTAATTCTGCATTTTAATATTTATGTGTGAGGAAAGCTGAACATTTTATAAGGCATCTTTCATCTCCATGTGTAGATCAATATCAAAGTTATATTGCTGCTCCTTACCAAAGATTAAAAGACAACCATTAAGCATACAAGAATCATTTTAAGACAACAAGATTAAAAGAAGTATCCAGGTGGCTTATCTTACCAGAAAAGAAAGCAGACTGGGATGATTTAACGTAGTTAATAACTAGGCACTCATTCCCAAGTGAGGGCTCAGAACACTTCTCCATCATGCTCAAAAGGCACTGCAGATAGGTGGATGTCCTTAATTACTCAAATATCACAATTGAATGTGTGCTTTCTGAGATGCTTTTTCCCTTAGGAATGCTACAACGTCAGTTTAGCAGAAGTGGAACAAGTGAACTTGAAAAATACAACATTTTGTTCATGAGTTTTTTCTCTATCCAAGCTCAAATAAAAAAGAAAACATTTTCACTGCTCCCTTTGTGACTGAAATTATCTTGCCAAAAAATCATGTGGGAAGAATAATTACTCACTGTCCTTCCACATGGAAATGGAAAATACTGGAAGAAATGCTCAGGTAAATGCATGCTTGCAGCCTCTGCTTAACTGTGTATGTGAAGTTCTTAAACATTCAGCATTCCAGCTAGAATACCTGTCTCTCAATTTTTAAAACTAACACAGGTGAAATCCTGTTGTTCTGATAACTTTGCTCTATCAAAAAAATGCCTTTACATGCACCCCTGCTCCTCTAGAGTCTGGATGTGATTGGCACTAAATTATGTTGAAGAAATTAATTACTACTATTCATAAAATACAGTGTCTGCTCATTTCTTTTCCTGCTTTCCCATCTCAGGTTACTCTCTGCATCTCTAGTGCCCCTCCTTCTTCCCACTCACTAGCATATTTGGGGGAGCCTTTTCCATTGGACAGATGAAATCTTGCATTTGTCATATGACTAGGTGTTTGCATAGCTCAAGACCTATCCTTGGACTGACTCATATTGTGGGGTGAACCCATACCCTGCATCTAAGCTTATGAGTGTGGGGGTAGTGAGTGCTCTTTCTTGTATTCATAAAAGGTAAAGCCAAAATAGAGATTTCTCATTTGATATTTGATTTCTCTATTTGATAGCTTGCCACATATGTTAAGCCTGCCCTTTGGACTTTGTCCTCTAATAAATTGCATATATATATATATATATATATATATATATATATATATATATTAATTGGCACTAGAGATTAAATCCGGCAGTGTTTTGCCACAGAGTGACATGTCCAGCCCTTTCTATTTTTTATTTTGAGACAGGGTCACACTAGGTTGCTCAAGCTAGCCTCAAACTTGCAATCTGTCTGTTTCAGCCTCCCTAGTCACCGAGATTCCAGCTGTCCCACCAGGCTGGACTTTTCTACTCTTCCATGCTTCAGAAAACTGTTTGCTATGTAAGTCAAATTCATTTTTAAAAATTCCTCCCAGAACTGCTAAATAGCAAATGCTTCAATTTTTTTCATGAATACAATAGCAAGCTTTCTACATTTTTGAAAATTTCAGTTTACTGGAAAACATTTTTAAGGTAGAAGGATGTGTTTTCCAAGCTTCTAAATATACATTGTAGTTAACAGTCTACTGGTAAACCTGACAGAGGCAGAGGAATAAATAACAAACCTTATTGATGGCCCATCTCTTCTTCTGTGACCAATATTCAGAGCTTTTCTCACAGCATCGAAGATGACTCCTAATATCCAACCTCCCTGACTCCCTCTAAAGGTTTATTAACAAAAACTGAGTTCTCTTCTATTAATGCTCCTTTCTCAAATGTGATAGGCTTGCCTCTGTTTTTTATCTTCTTTATGGGTGATTATGATTCTTCTTTATCTATGATTTGTCCTATAATAAATGCTAAAACTTGTTTACAGTTCAGTGTAGACACTTGTTTCAATTTTGACAACTTTTCTCATCTTCCAGAATTCTTACTCTTGTTCCTTAGACCAATAGGTAACATATGGAATAGGGATTATAGATATTCTTCATAACTTTATTGGGGCGACATTAGAATTGATCAGTGGCAAACAATTAGGAGATAATGAAGAGTGTCTCATAGATGTCACATAATGGACATTCCAAGGTGGTGAAATCTTTATTAGTAAGGAGATTTTTTTCCTCAGATGTTGAGAAGGGAGATCACCATTCAATGTGGAATTTTTATAAATGACCAAGGTTTTCTTTGAGCTATATGTAACCTAATTTTCACACTTTATTCCTTTCTTTAATACATGTCCTTGTCAGAACCCAGGATCATTTTGAAAAAGATAAGTGTGGACAGCAGGATATAGATTCCCAGTTAAGACCATTTATCCGTCTTTCACTCAAGCTAATTTATGTATTTGTTCTATGTTTAGTGCTGGGTTTTGGACTTTCAAAGATAAGATCTACATACTGTCTTCCATTGTTACTTACATTATGACATTTCAGGAGCTCAGTAAATGTGCGATGACATTGAAAATATATTTTGTTTATCACTACAAAAGTATTTGTAATCTAATCTTCACATTTTGCCCTTCATTCATCTATTACAACTATCCCAGTACTTTAAAAGTGTACCATACCGGGGCTGGGGTGGTGGCTCAGCAGTAGAGCGCTTGCCTAGCACATGCTAGGTGTTGGGTTCAATCCTCAGAACCACATAAAAATAAATAAAATAAAAGGTATTATGTCCAGCTACAACTAAAGAAAAATATTTGGAAAAAAAGTGTACCATACAGAAAGATTGAGAAAGAATTTGAATCAAATATATATATATATATATATATATATATATATATATATATATATGCGTGTGTGTGTGTGTGTGTGTAACCCAAACCATTCCTCATATCTTCCTGCCATAGTTGGTACTTGTGATAACTTCAGTGCCTTTCAGAACAAAATATGTATCCAATAATAACAAAGATTCAGAGACTATATTAATCACTTACAATTTATACTCTAATTCCCAAGCACCCATGAAACTCAAGTCCCATATCTTGGTTTGTTTAGAAACCTACCTATATTCTGGTACTGAAAATAATATAGCTCATGAATGTGGGATCTATATTTTTCAACATGAAATTGTACTTAACTTTCAAACTTTTAAATATCTTCAAGATGGGGAAGGAGTTTTATTATTATTATTTATTATTTATATATCATTACTTATTATTAATGACCCAAATATGGTATTAAAAATAGGGCAAACCATTAAGAAGAGAGTCAGCACTGTTTGACAGTCAAAACCTCTAAAGAAATGAAGTTCAGTACTGTGAGAAGACAAAGGGCAATATTAACCTACAGGCAAGAATGAAGGGCATTTTGTGTGGTACACTAGGTAAATGCTATGAAAAAAAAAAAAAAAACTTTTATTTTTCTTTCTTTTACAATTTTCCTGGCTGATTCCTTCCCAGAATTATGGCGATTACTAAAAATAGCAATGTCAGCAGCTTTTTCTTCATATTGATGGATCTCCCGGGACTGGAGAAGGCTCACTGCTGGACAGCTATTCCTGTCTGCTCCATCTATGTTCTTTCAGTGCTGGGTAACATCACCATAATGCACATCGTCAAGTCTGTGCCCCGCCTCCACACACCCATGTACCTCTTCCTCTCCATGCTGTCAATGGCTGACCTGGGCCTCTCAGCTTCGACACTGCCCTCGATGGTAGCTGTCTTTCTCCTAGGTCGCAGGAGGATAGGAGCTACACCCTGTTTTATGCAACTCTTTTGCATCCACACTTTCTCAGTCATTGAGTCAGCTATTTTGCTGGCCTTGGCTTTTGATCGCTGCATGGCTATCCGAGAACCTTTACGCTATGCCACCATTCTCACAACCAAGCGTATCTGGGCCATTGGGCTGGCTGTTGTGACCCGCAGTGTGACCCTCCATCTGCCCCTGCCTTTGCTCCTGGACAGATTGACGTTCCAGCCTGTGAGTGCTTTGTCTCACTCTTACTGTGTTCATCCAGATGTCCTAAGGTTGTCCTGTTCCAGCACCCTTGTCAACAGTGGCTTTGGGCTCTTTGTCATGCTCTCCACTCTGGGGATGGATGCTGTGCTCATTCTTCTGTCCTATGTGCTGATCTTGAAGACAGTATTGGGCATTGCCTCCAATGCTGAGCGGCTCAAAGCTTTTAACACCTGCATTTCTCACATCTGTGCTGTACTTCTATTTTATACCCCATTGGTTAGCCTGTCCATGATCCATCGCTTTGGAAAAAAGAAACTACCAGTTCAGGTGTACATGCTTCTGTCTTATCTTCACTTTCTTATGCCTCCAGTGCTCAACCCAATTGTCTACAGTGTCAAAACCAAAGAGATCCGGGTCTACATTCTAAAGATGCTCCACCCCAGAAAGCTCTGACTCACAGAGATAAAATACTTTTGGTGATTCCTAAATTCTAAACAAAGGCTGGATATAAACTTCTCAAGGAGGCAGAAATTGTGTTACTTCCATTTGACTCATCAGTCGATTCATTATTTAAAAACACTAACTTAAGTCCAATGGGTTATTACTATTTCCCCAGCTATAAGAACCAAAACAGTTCAATGAAAAAACGGTATTTCTTGTTCTACAAAAGTCAAAATCATCCTTAAAATTCTCAGTAGTCATAGGAGAAACTGGTAGACTATTAAGTGAATACACTGACATCTGAAAGTGGGCAGTTTACTAGAGTAGGATTTATTAACATCTCAGATCTGTTCCAGCAAAATCTCTAAAATCTTATAAGAAGATCTCATTTGGTTGTATTTTAATAAAATTTGGCACATATCTGTAATCAAAATGTTTTTCCTTCTTGTTTGCATAACTATAGATGTAGATTAGACTGGAATATTAAACGGAACAAAATCACAAATATATTTAAAGGAAAAAATTTTCATTATTGCAAGTCTTACAATAATGTACATTCTTAAGCTCTGAAACATGAAAGATAGACAGAAATCCCCATATTCTCAAATCATTGCTCCTTATTTCCTAACAGATACATGGAAAATTCTGTGTTTTCACAAAGTACTAAAAGATGCTATAACTCTTGAATGACTCCTCTGTACCACTCAATGGTACACTTAATTTGGGGGATAGGATTAAAGACTAAGTCAAGTAGAAATCCCAGAAGACCATTTTTATAAGCATTGGCTAGATTCTGATAAGTCAGAGTTAGAGAAAATGATTTTCTAACTTTTTCATAGTCTCTTTCTTCTTGGACTGAACTTTCAACTATGTTCTCTAAAATGGAATTAGTCTGTATAAGAACATAACTACTAACATGTCAAGTAAGTGTTTCACTTAAGAATTAATACTTTGGATCAGATTATATTATAATGTTATTTGGGATGGTATGATAGAAACTAGAAAATAAATATATTGCCAAAATTTGATTTCCCTCGTAAAACACTCGTTCATTAGAAATATGTTTATTCAACAATACTGAGCCAATTTCTATTCAAAGTATAAAGAAAGCAGAGTAGAATGTTGCTTCCTCAGTGTGAAAGGTTTAAATTATTAGGGGATAAAAGTTTTGTAAACATATAATTATCTAGTTATCAAAGGTGATTTTGTGACAGTTTATTTTATGGTGAGATAACAGCGGGGTGGATCAATTTGATCAGGGGAATTTTAAGAGACACTTCATTGAAGTGTAACTTTTGATGAAAGACCAGCAAAATGAAATACTTATGCATGAAATATACAGATCTCCTTGATCAGATCTTATCTCTCAACTTATTCTGACATAGATTTGTACTCCAGAAATACAAAAATAATTGAATTGCTCCATTATATAATCAGTTTCTTACCTCTGACTTTAAGTTTGACTGTAAGTTAGCCTGCAGCATTCACATTCTTCCTCCTTTAACAGTCTTCTATATTCATGCCTGAACAAACCCTATTCACACACACATATGTGCCCCCCCTACACACACACATACACACACACAAACAATGTAATATCAATGCATTGAAGATACCATTTGTAATCTTCCTATCACACTTTCTTCTGTTGGGTCAGGGAATTCTCCTTCATGATCTCATACCTGATGCATGTCTACTTTATTGGCATTTCATTTTAACAATTTTATTGAGATACTGACATAGAGTAAATTACCCATATTTATCGTATACAATTTAATAAATTAGACATATCTATACGCCCATGAACTCATCATCATAATCAAGATAATGAGCATATCCACCACTCTCATGGATTTCTGTTGTACTTCTTTCCAGATACCCTCAGCCAGTCTCAAACAGGGAAAGTTTGGCTGATACAGATTAGTTTGTATCTAGAACCTTAAATAAATGTATTTATGAAGTATATGCTTTTCTATTTTGTGATCTTTCTTCTTTCACTCAGCAGGATTCTATTGAGGTCCATCCACATTATTTATATTTATTTTTGAATAATACTGTATTTCTCCTTCCATTTCATCTTATGGGCACATTATGATTTGCATGTAAATAAATTACTAAATGAGAAAATTGCCAACAGAATTTAATTCATGAAATACTTTGTGGTCCTTAGAACAGATACAGATTCATAGCTTGTATTATTTTGTTTCAGTCTGAAAAACTTCATTTAACATTTTTTTACTATGATTTTGCTCATTTCAACATCTTTATTTGTTTTCTTCAATTATGAAAGAAAAATTTATTAGATTAGAATTATAAATTGGCCAGGCATGGTCATGCTTATAAATCCCAGTGGCTCAGGAGGCTGAAGTATGAGGGTGGCAAGTTCAAAGCCAGCCTCTGGAACTTAGTGGGACCTTAATCAACGTAGGGAAACTTCTAAAAAAAATAAAAGGCCTGGGGATGGGGATGTGCTGACTGGTTAAGTGCCTTTGGGTTCAATCTCCAGTACAAAAAAAAAAAATATATATATATATATATACACACACACATATGTTACAAGGTGCTTTTTTTTCTCTCAGACCTGTTTAAAAATACTACTGCTTGTTCATAATTTCTTTCCATGGCAGAGAGATACCTGTATCCTACTTTTTACAATTTATTTTCCCATCAGCTCAACCCCCGTATCTTCAAAATTGTTAATTTTGAAACAAATTTACCAACTCTAAAGTACAGTTTTTTCATCTTTAACCACTGAATCACAACCTCAGCCCTTTTTAGTTTTTAGTTTGAGACAGGGTCTTGCTAAGTTTCTTAAAACCACACTAAATTTCTGAAGCTTGCCTTGAGTTTTCCATCCTCCTGACTCAGACGTCCAAGCTGTGGGGATTACAGACTTGTTCCACTGTGCCTGGCCCATTTGAGTTTTAAAGAATTGTCAGGCAGAAAGCCTAGACAACTATGAAGGTAATTTCTTTTTATTCTTTATCAGAAGGAATTAAACCTATGCTATATTTTCAAAATCTGATATACTGCATATATATTGCTTGGTGCTAGAGTTGTTATTTGTTAGAAAATGTTCAACATCCCTTGCTTTTTTATTATTGAAGTGGAAAGTTTTGGAGTCCTATTTTCTTGTGTTCATAGTCTGGGATTTTGCATAACTCAAACTGAGTTTTCTGTTTTGTTTTATACTTACATTGTGAAACAGAGTAGCTTGCACACTTTTGTTTTAATACAATGAGAACTTGGGTAGGCTGCCTGTGTGTTCAATGCTGTGGTTAATTTTGTAATTTTTTTTTACACCTCCCTCTTATTGTGTTTTAACTTTACAATAGGCAAACCCAAGGCTAACATTCTTTTGAATGGAGAACAACTGAAAGTATTCCTTTTAAAAATAGGAACAAGACAGGGATGCCCTTTCACCACTCTTATTAAACATTGTCCTTGAAACTCTAGCCAAGCAATTAGGCAAGATAAGGAAATTAAAGGGATACAAATAGGAAAACAAGAGCTCAAATTATCTGTTTGCTGGTGACATGATCCTATATTTAGAAGACCCTCCCCCAAAAAAACTCCACCAGAAAATCTCTAGAACACACAAATGAATTCAGCAAAGTAGGAGGATACAAAATCAACATTCATAAACCAATTGTGTTCTTAAACTCTGATGATGAATCTGCTGAAAATGAAATTAGAAAAACTATCCCATTCACAATAGCAGCAAAAAAATAAAATACTTTGGTATCAATCTAACAAAAAGACATGAAAGACCTCTATAATTTTGTGATTTTTACTTAATTAGGGAAACATGTCCTCAAAGTTGAAAATTACTTCATTTTATTACTATTAAATCTTTAACATATACTTACAAGGAATAATAGTGACTTGTTATATAATTATATTACAAATTTGAAATATTATATAATAATATTAAAATGATAGGTAATTATTTTACTATTGATAAGTATTGTCCTAAGTCATTTTTAAATTGTTATATTATTTATTTTTAATTGATGAAAGCATAAAAAATTTGTATGCATTATTGTGTACTGTGTTTTGTTTCTATAGATAGATACACTGCATAATGTTTAAATCAGGTTAATATATTTACCTCCTCAAATATTTGTCACTTCTTTTTTGGGGGGGTCGTACCTAGGATTGAACTCAGGGGTACTCAACCACTGGGCCACATCCCCAGCCCTATACTGTATTTTCATTAGAGACAGTGTCTCACTGAATTGCTTAGTACCTCACTTTTGCTGAGGCTATCTTTGAACTCTCGATCCTCCTGCTTCAGCCTCCTGAGCCTCTGGGATTATAGGTGTGCACCATTGCACCCTACCATTTGTCATTTCTTTAAGGTGAAAGCTTTTAAAACACTTTCCTCAGGTTTTTGAAACACATAATACATTATTGTCATCTATTGCTATCCTACTGTGTGACAGCATGCCAGAACTTCTTTTTCCTAAGTCTTATTTTTCTACTCATTGATCAATGTTTTCCCAACCCTCCCTCCCTGTTATTCTCCCTGGCCAGTGGTAACCGCCATTCTACTCTCATCTTGTATGAGACCAGTCTTTTCAGATTCCACATGAGATCATGTATTACTATGTTCCTGTGCCTGGTTTATTTCCCTTAATATAATGATCTCTAGTTCCATCTATCTTGTTGCAAATGACCCGATTTCATTCTTTTTTGTAGATGAATAGGATTCTATTGTGAATATGTCTTCAAAATAATATGATGCATTAATTTCCTTTCTTTCACCATTCCGGTTTCACAGATGAGGAAACAGAATGATTCAGAGGCTAGACAATGTTACCAAATAATTAAGAGATTTTCCATGACAGAGTTGAGATTCAAACCCACACAGTTCAACCTCAGGAACACTGTTGTTAACTATAGATCCATAATCTCCCAATAGTAGTACTACTCTATTTTATAGACATGATAAAAAGAGACTTAAAGGGCTTGTGTAACTTACATAACTATAAGTGGCAAGAATTATTTTC